TGATTTCATCTCTGCGGCATGCAGCACAATCCCTCTGACAAGAGGTACTCTTGCCCGTGGGCTTTTGCCCTTTTTTTATCTTTGCCTTTGGCACTGTGACTGGAGCTTAGTGGCTTGCTTCTCTGCTCCTCTGCTGTTTCAGGAGCACAAAATTCAATGCATGCCACACAGGCATTCAGGAACTCGGAGCACCTGATTCCCTGGGGCCGCCCCCTCTGTGCAGCCTGACCCAGGGACTAACCATTGCCAATAAGCTACCCAGGGGAGTGGTGCTCTGCCCTGCTCTTTTCTATTACTGCTTTAGGGATTCTTTCTATATTTTAATCCGACATCTGGACATTCAGTGGCTTCAGAGTGTCTGCTACACTCACCATGATCGGCTACCCCTGTGGGTTTGTGTGTTAGTTTGGCAAAGCCTGCTTTTTGGTAGTGGAGGGGGCCACAGGGGTAACTTCTGTGAGAAGCTGCTGGAAGATTCCACCATGTCCAACAAAGCCAATCTCTGATGGCTCTGAAGGTGGACATTCTGCTGGGCCCAGTCAGAGAAGTTGGTAGTGCCTCTGTGATGACATGTTTAAGAAGAAAATCAAAACACCACAGACACAGGTTTTCCAGGGGTGGTGAAGTGCTGCCCTGGTGGCAGCATGCGCCAATGCACCCCTGTGGCCACAGACATCTTGAGAAGACCCGCGGCAAGCCTTGACTGCCTGGCCATTCCTAGCCAGTTGTGCTGAGGGCAAAATGCAGGGGCAGCAGTGGTTGCTTCCCCTTCCTGGCATGCCACATGAAGAGAGGTTTTAAAATAGCGCCAGCAGCTGCCACTGCCTGCACGATGGCGATGGGGCAGCCTGGTTAGGTGTGGAAGTATGACGAGTGATTCCCTGATATGGAACCTAGACAAGATCAACTTCTCAGCACTGCAGGATCCTGCAAGAATCTTTGAATTAGTGGAACTTGTTTACAATGGTACCTACAAGCAGTAGTTTTTCTTCTAGTCAGAGAAGAGGAAAAAGTGAGCACGTGTGAGGGAAAACAACATGGCGGCACCAAGGTCAGTGGAAGGAAAGGAGGGGTGAAGGTGCTTCAGGTGTTGGAGCTGAGATTCTCTGCAAGCCCTGGTTAGGACTATGGTGAAAAAAACCCTGTTCCCTGTAATCCATGAAGTCTGTGGGGGATGCAGAGATCCACTTGCAGCCCATGGGAAGCCCTGGAGCAGGTGTATGCTAGAGAAAGCTGTGGTCTAGTGGGAGACCTGATGGAGAGAGAGACAGAGGGCCCCTGCTTCCAGAGATAAAGGGCCGTTGCTTCCAGACTAGAGCAGCCTATCTTTCAAGGACTGCACCCTGTGGACAAGTGACCCACACCAAAACAGTTTTGGGAAGACTGTTTTCCTGTGGGAGTGACCCCATAGCATAGCAGAAAACAAGCTTCTCTCCCTGGGCAAACAGAAAACATCTCGAGTGACAAATTGACCAGAACTCCTCTCTCCCTACACTGTTGGTGAGAAAGAGGGAGGGGCTTGAGAGGGAAGGATATCATATTTTCCATTCCCACGGAGGTTCCCACCTTTCTTGGCAGACACCTGTTGCTCAAACTAGACCACTTTTGAACATCAAAAGTTCATAAGGATATAGACATATAGACCTCTAATACTTCTCATAGTAAATGTCTGAAGGATGCTTAAACAAGTCAGTGTAATTTGGAAACCTTTGTAAATACATTTGTGGGCTAACAGATGATTAAAGGGACAGATAAATGGCAAAAGTAAATACTGTATTCAATTTTTCAAAGTGAACAAAAACAGGGAACAATAACTCAGGCAGAGTCACTGATAAAAGATATTGGAGCAAAACACTAAAATTTACAAAAAAATATGTTGAAACATATGTAAGATTTCAAAGAGCAAATCAGGTCAAATTATTCCATATGCATTTTTTTTGCTGATTAACTAAATTTATGATTCAAAGCTATGTGCCATACTGCAACTTTAATAAGACATTTACCCATTCTCATACACCAGAACTAGACATACCTAGGCCAAACACTTCACAAATTTTGCCTACCAATGGCTAAGAGGTACCGTATGCTATGTGATGTATACAGCTGCTGCAATGCAGAGTGTGCCTAACTTAGTAAGCAGCAGGGATACACAGTGAACTAATTGCAAAGTTCCGATAACTTGTCCAGAAGGTAAGCATGTATAAAGCTGTCCCAGTGTAGTGCATACTTTTTGATGAAATTGTTGATGACAGTCCTCAAATATACAGAAGGCTCCTACGTCCTCCTTCAACAGTCAGTTTTGCTATGGTAGTGCCCTATGGACACTGAGAATCCAGGAGGAAGAAAATAATTTTGATTTGGAAGTAGCAGTGAAGGAGAGATGCTGTCAGGGCATGATGGTGTATGAGCAGATGATATTAAGTTATATGATAGTGCAACTTCAAGTTGTAATAGTGTTTCAGTTTTGAAAGCTGAATTCTTCAATGACTTACTTACCCATTTTGTTTGAAAATGCATGCCACAAGCAAATTAGGGAAGTAGAATATATGTGCAATTGCAACAAGACAAGAGTTTGCTCTTACTTTCTCTAGAAGAGCTCTTCTTATCAGGTGGGCAGGTTCCTTTAATGTCCTGAACTCAACTATGTTCCATTTTTTTGTAAAGAGTTTGAATGATGGACTGAAGGCCATTTTTCAGAATTTTATAGCTATTGTTATGCTAGGAGAGGTGATTTCAAGAACAGTTATAGACATGACAGATATTAAATGCATTGATTGTTAATCAGAAAGAATAAAAAATTGGTTGAAAAGAATAATTAAAATGAAAAATATTACTATATATAATCAGAAGAGTCAAGTGTACAAAGACACAGAAGGAAAGGCTATTTGTCCTTACACTGGTTAAAATACTATGTGTTGAAAGGCAAATCTAATTTTGGAATCAATAGTATCAACACTTCTTTCCCACTCATTTTTACAAACCAATGTTTGATAACATTTAGAAAAACATAAAGCACTTGGCAACAACAATAATGGACATTTTCCATTTATGAGTACGACTGAAGTGAAAAAACTTCCATCAAAATTTTCAGGTTTTAGTAATTTATTTTTGCCTTTATAATGGAATTCTATCATTTTACCAAAAAAAATTTTAATATTTAATGAAAATTGACATTTTCTAATATGTGTTAAAATATTTAATAGTAATTAGTGTCAAAATTATTCATCAAATATAAACGTTTATGTGAAAGTTTTCTTCAGAAACAATACTTTCTGCAAAGCTATTCTTGAAAGAGTTGGCTTCAGGAACAGAAAAATATCATTTGAGTTGCATGTTTACTTGCATGGTTGTGTGGGAATCCCCAAAATCAGAGGGTTTTGGGAAAGCTGCAAAAGGCAGGCCTCAGAGACAGTAGAACTGTGATTAGCGCTAAGCAGCAGCCATGAGATAGGTCAGCAGAAAAATTATTTAAAAAGTAGAAAAGCAAGGACAAATAGAACAATGGTCTGTGTATTAACGCTTGTCTGGAATAACTCTCTAAGCTACAGAAAAGTATATCTAGTAGGATATTGGAAGTTTGAAGCTTAATAATGGAGCTCTGTGCTTTGTGTTTTAAGGCTTACAAGTGTATTTGAAATAAGCAAGCATTGTTTTAACCAAAGGTACGTGTGCTTATAGTCGTTGGATAGAACTACTATCAATATGCTTTTGCTTTGTGTGATTGATCAAAAAACTTATAAAGTAAGTTGTAACATTAAGTTCTGCGTCTGGTGCCTGGCCTGTGAGCTGGTGGCATCTTCCCATTTTCATAACCATGTAATGAGACTGATGCTGAAAAATAAAACACCTCAAGGCACGTTCCACAGCAGTCCTTGTTTGTGATTTGTACATGTTCCCCCGGCCGGCAATAGGTTGTAGGAATGAAGTGCAAGTGTTTGAAAACTGAAAATAGAGATACTTCTATTAATTTGATGTAAGTTTGTAGACTCAAATATTGTTGCCCCACATAGTCTAAGTTACTTTGTTCTGAAACCAAAAATAGAAATATTGGTTACATTTATTAGATTATAGAAGGAGGATAAAGGAATGCCTAAGTTGCATTTTGATTCTGGATTTTCATGTTAAGTTACTGTCAAATTTTAACTTTACTCTATCCTTGACAGTGTCCCAGACTCCTTTCTGCACAAGCTTATGGTCTTCCTGCTGTAAGGTTTCTTTGTCATTAATGGAGTCATTAATGGACCCTAAGCTTCCTTACCCCATGCTACATTTGATGAAGATGATTGGAGCATTCATTGTTATATACTGCTAGGAAGGCAACATGTGATTCTTGACCATCAAGCATTTGGCAAGTGTGTATTGAAAGAATATATTTTATACACAGGAAAGCGTATCTTCCCACAATACCTCATTTATGAAGATCAATGCAATCTCAAAAATGTCACCAAAAAGCCAGGGAAAGGGAATAAAAAAGGAACAAATTTCTTCTAGTTTGGATGTTACTTATGTTGACATGAGCCATACATAGTTGAACGTAGCTTTGCTCAGCAAAACATCTCTGGGAAAACAGATTTCACAGATCAGAAGCAGTGGAAGAGAAATTAAATGGATCAACAAATGTATCACAGGATATCTATGGCAAAAATATAAAATAAAGCCAGATTTGTTACATGTTTGTCTAAAGGAGAGTTGCTTCTTTCTCTTTTATTGTGTTTGCAGGGATGCCCTGACGAAGGCAGGAATGATGCATCTGACTCCATGTTCTCAGAAAGCTAATTTATTACTTTATTGTAGTATATTATATTAAAGAATACAGAAAATATACTTACTCAATGCTAAAAAGATAGTAATGAAAACTCATGACTCTTTCCAGAGTCCTGACACAGCTTGGCACTAATTGGCCAAAGAGTCAAAACAACCCACACCAGAATCCAATCAGGCGATCACCTGTGGGTAAACAATCTCCAAATAGATTCCACATGAGGAAAACACAGGAGAAGCAAATGAGGTAAGAATTGTTTTCCTTTTCACTGAGGCCGCTCAGATTCCCAGGATAAAATTCTTGGGTGAAGGAATTTTTTCAGAGAATGTGAATGCCGGACTCTTTATGATTTTCATCTCCACAAAATACTTTGTGATATGTTTTAGGAGTGGAATCCAAGATGCAGTGCAAGTACAGTCGTTTTAAAAATAGGTTTGCTGCTTGTCTTGCTTTGTTCTGATTTCTCCAACTCATCAGTAAAACAAAAATAATATACAAAAACTTTCAGGAAGGAGATTTCAAGGAAAAAAGAACTAGTTAACAACTTTTACAAATAGGTGTTTTGTTTCTTTTAGTTTTTCTGCTGTGTAGTTAATGCTTCTTCCTCATCAAACAGGTTTCTTTTACCCATGCAGTCTGCTTTAGGTGTATTAAAATTAATCTTCTAAGGCATATTGTATAAGGACTTGACAGTGTTTAAAGTTGCCTACAGTTTAGTTGATGTTGATGTCGATAAAGTCTATCTAAACCAGGCTTAGTATTTGGATGCATTATAAAGTCAACTGTTAACAGCAGCTTGATAGAGTTCTTGCTGACAGTGTCTGTATGATCTGAGGACTCTGACCGCTGAGCCCTGAAGCAAACTGTTGCTTATTGAAGATGTGAATTACTTCAGCTGTTGGACCCTACTTCCAGACTCCACGGCTGTCTTTCAGAGCTGGCAGGAGCTGATGTTTACTTGCTCCCCATTCTTCCCCAGGTTAAAGAAGCACCTCATTTCCCTAGCAGTTTGTGTAATCCTGAAAAATATGAAAAGTGCAGTTAAGTGTGTCACAGATTCCTCTCTGCTGCTCTTTTACCTTGGCTATGACCTATGGTCATGTTTCAGACTGTCAACCTGAGCAATTCAACCATTGCAGTGAGACTGAGAATACCTGATATAGAAGGACCCTTGGCCCAGATCAGTTTTGAACTTAAGGATAAAGACAGACGTTTGTTAACTTGTTTTTTCCCATGTATAAACCAAAATAGCACTGTGAGCTTATAAGTTGCAATAAAATGGAGAGGAATATGTGTAAAGAAATCCAAAATTCTGCATTCTGTAAGATGTTATTGTTGGAAATTATATGACTTCCCTGATATCTTTCTTAATTAATTATTTTAATTAACTTTTCTAATTAATTATTTAATCATAAGCAGTGTAATTTTCCACCCTGTCATATGCCACAGTAGCCAGAATTAAATGCTTGCCATAAGCTGCTACTGTGGGAACACAGTTTGGGAAAATTACTGAAACTTTAGGTTTTGCTGAAACAGTTGCAGTCAGCCTTGATATGCTTCAATAAACAAAGCCTGGGAGAGATACATTGCTGAACGTGAACCACTAGGGCATTTTGCAGAACCTGGAGGTAAAGAAGAAACTAAGAAAGACAATTCAACAATTGTCCTGACAACCTTTCTAGATGGAAAAAATGTAAAATAAAGACTGAAAATGTGGACTCATTAGAGTGAGATGATGAAATCAATAACCAATAGAAAGTAGAATACTAATTGATGGAGAGAACTATGTAATTTATAGCAAATGAACTTTTTTTTTTTTGCTAAAATATATTAATAATGACAAGTTTTGGAAAAGTGGCTGTGTGTTTGGGAGAGGGATCCCATGCACACCCAGCCCTGTTCTAGAGACATGCCAACTTTCTAATATTAAAAATAGTGTTAGAAAATCCTGGCGTTATTTCTGCAACACTATCATTACTTTTTAAAAACTAATCAGAGTAAATATGACACTTTAAATTACACAGCTTACCTGAAGTCTGAAGCTTATTATAATGTATTTAATTTAATATAAATTACTAAAAGTATTCAAGTGGTAACATTAGTTACTTTTTTGTTTTCTGATGTCTTTCAAAATTTAATATAAAATAAATTATAATATGAGATTTAGATTAAATAAGTTCTTTAGTTATCTTGTCCTTACTAACAGTAAAGGGAAAAATAAATAAAAAAGTACAAATAGAAAGCAAGAGTGAAGTATTATTCTAGAAGTTTAAATAATAATCCTTGCTTGTTTGCTAGTTTTAGTTGAGACTAGAAGTGGTCATTTATTTTACTTTGATTCAAAACTGGATTTTCAAAAAAAGGTCCACAGATCTTTGGTAATGTCCAGGTTATTTCTAGTAGGCTTCAATAAAAATTGAGAAAAATCATAAATAGGGTTAGATTTGTCTTTTAGGAGCCTGCACTAATTGGAAATTTGGAATCGTGACTGATTGACTAAGGACTGAGACTAGCTCTCTAAAATGGTGCTGGAGAATTATAGCATTTCTCTCAAAGGGACAGAGGTATGAGAGAGTTGTTGGAGGTATTTATAAGACCTGAGGGGAGACCAATAACTGATGTTTGATGACTTTTCATATTAGAATTATGATATTGTTATAGAATTTGAAGATAGTACTGCAATATATATTGACAAGATAAGAGTGGTCCTGATTTTATTCTGACTTGCATTACTTCTCTAATTCCACAAAGTACCGTATTTCCCCTGGTTTACATGGCTGTTGGTAAGGCAGCAATTCAGTTCCCTCATTGACATAAATACTGATGATACATTAAGGGGTTTTTTTGTTTGAATGTGTATCCTATGCAACTTTGGCTGGTGACTTTAAGTTCTTTGGCAGAAAGAACATGTTTATAGAATCCAATTTGTTTATAGATAACGCCAGTGAAGACACTTTGTTCTTATACATCTTCTTAATCTATTTTGCCATAAATGAAGAAATTATTTTTTGCTTACACACTAGATATTAAAAACATATTATTTCTTTGTTCTTGCTGCAGCATGAACATTTCCATTGCCAATTTCCACTTCCTTCAAATTACCAGCCACAATTTTATGCATCTTTCTTTGTAAAAAAATTTCTTAAACCAACAGTTTTTGCTACTTTCTTCTGAACTCAATATTTTTTAAAATGTATTGTCCAAACTTGGAATCCAAGTTGGATTACTGCTGATATCAAATTCCTTCTGCACGAATAATTCTCCATCTATCTTTTAAGATGTCCATAACTATGATGATATTTTGTGCAATGTTGTAGTATGTTTTACTCCTGCTTAGCTTCTGATTATACACAATAACACATAATCCTTTTCTGCAGAAATTATACCTAATGTCTTATTTTCTGTTCTGTATTTGGGTGAACATTGTAAATAATTGCAATATTGTAAATTATGCAATATTTTATTTTTTAATCTTTTTTTTTTTTGCAACTGCCACACCAAACTGACAGAAAAACTTTAAATTGTCTAAAAGCAGGCTGTTTTTCTTAAAAATAGGAACAAATATAGTATTGCAGTTCAGCTTTGTCTCAGCAATTGACCACAGTGATATGTTTCTTGCTATAATTAAAATGTACAGATTATGTAATTATCTACAACCAATACAAATAATTTCTGTGAAATAGAGCAGCATCTGTTCTGTTTGCAAACCTCTTTTTCATTTTGATAAGAATACCAAGGAAAATAAATAAGTCTTTTTCTTCATGAGTTTAAGAAAAAGGTGCTCCTAAAAGTACTTAAGGTAATTCTCTAGATTACCTGTTCCTGGAGGTCTCCTAGCAAGAACAAATTCTCCCAGTAATTAGAGAAAATTCAAATTCTCCCAAATGTCAGCTCTGGAGTTGATCCTCTGGAGTTGAGTAAACTTTCTGGGAGAGAGCTGCCAGTCAGAGCTTGCCATGGAAAAAAACCACTTATGTTGTTCCTCCCTTCTTTTCAGTAGCTTCCATAAAGTTTTCAAAGGAAAGCCTTTCTTATCCCTTCTCCTTTCTTTTACTCTAATCAGCTATTTTCAGTCCTTTGCTCCATTTCCCTACAGCTTTGGAACTAGACAGACTAAAGCAAGGTAATTTGATCCTTTTCCCAGGTGGAGGAAAAAAAGGGATAAAGTTAGCATGTCTCTTGAGGGAGCAGATGTGACTGATCATGGATGGTCAGTCAAAAAAGGAGTCAAAAATGTTCATAAACTTGCGATATGTAAATTGATATCCAGTGAATACTTGCCTGTTTTGAGAGTTGGATGATGAAATAACTTCCTGAGCTGAGGAATAGATAACCAGAATGTCTGAGTATGCACAGCTTTTCAGTTAGGTCGACTATTGAACTGCTAGAGCTTCAGGAAGATACCTTTAAGAGTTGAAACACTTCAGATTTCAATTTTTTAAATATTTTAAAGATATTAAAAATTGGCTACTTAACTGATCTAAATGAAAATTTCAATGAATATGGGTCGTTTAAAGGTCAATGAAAAATTGGTTTATCTTTTTAACTGTATTTCTAGTTTATTCTGAAGGATTACTTAAAATTTGGGAATAGTACTAGTGAGGTTTTCTACATCTTTATTTCAGGGAAAGCATACTGGAAAATCCGTAATATGGGGTTTTTTCCTCATGTTTTTAGTTTTAGAGGTAGTTGAATTTTTATTGTTTGTATATTTTAATGGCATTTTCTACAATATAGTATTTCCATTGAAAGTGTTAGTGAATAACTTTAAAATTTATTATAAAGAACCCTAGTGAGTAGCACCTTAATATGGGATTAACTTCACTTGAAGAAATGGATAGACTTAACAGCTTAATAATCAATGAGTAAGAGCAGCACAGATGGGCTGCATATTTTGAATAATTTTATAGGAAAACAATAGAGGATAAAGTTTAGTTCTACAAGTATTTCTCCCATGAGTTAATATTATTCACTGGCATAATTTCACAAAATTTTCTAGTTAATTGCTATAATAATTACTGGTGAAGAAGCTGTTTAAACTAAAACATTTAAGTCAAAATAGCAGCAGCAATAAAAGGAAGCAAAATGTGGAAATTACTAATGGAGTGAGGAGCAATTACTATATGCCAGGCTTCTGGGTACAAAGAGCAAACCAAACATGGATTTAGGTAGGAATATCACTTGATGATGTCTTGATAACATGGAAATCAGTAAAACACTAGTTTTCTGGTTATCAAGAAACATTTCCTGGTTTTAAAACAGAGAGTTAAGTCAGCTAAACTAAACATTTTCTTCAATTCTGTCAGTTACTATCACCTTTCCCTTTTCCTTGTTTCACTCTAGGACCCAAACTGGCAGTAAGTAAAAGTGGATCACAAAATTTGATCTTAGTGAATCCATCTCCTGCAGTTATTTTTCTTAAGGTGTTATTATTTTAAAATAGTGTTCAAGTGTTTGAAATTTACTGCTTTTTAAAGCCACTAGATGTGTTAGAGGATTTTAAATCTTCCTTTTTAAGGAGGATGGAGACAATAGTGAGTTATGCTTCTTATTATGAATTCTTTTGTCTTATTTAATACTCCTTTTGGGAACAGAAAAGTGCAAGCATCACCATTTCCCAAATAAAAGTGATTGTATTTCACCTGAGCTTAAGTCATGACTCAGAACCTCTAGCATTTTTGTTATCCTATATTCCTACCTACTCTTTGATTGATAATGATATATATTATTATTATGTGAAGGGATGGTGTGCCAAAACATAAGCAAGTGAGTGGAAGTGGAATCCCTCAATCTGGTTCATGAGGTGTCAGATACAACAAACCACACCTGAAATGTTTCTTTACCAGTGCATGCAATATAAGCAACAAGCAAGATAAACTCAAAGCTTTCCTTTTCCAGAGATTTGACATCAATGCAAAACCTGGTGGGATGAGTCCTGTGACTGGAGTGCCGTGTTGGATGAATACAAGCTCTTCAGGAGGGATAGATAGGGTAGGCAAGATGAGGTGTGTATGTTGCA